CTCAAGTTGTCTGACATAGAGAGAGTACCTGAAACAGTGTCGACTTTCGCTGGAAGGTATGCGTTTCCGCAGGATACGGAAACTCCACACCTTCCAGCAAAGTACCATTTTCCCTGGATCGAGCTACCAATGGGAAGGCGATTAGATCTTTCGGATCAGCTACACGGCCGATCACATGTTTCAATCGATGAAACAGCGGTGACCGAAGCTAGGAACGAGGGAACGAGCGAGAGACAAGCTACTTATTGAATAATTGCTTGGTAGGACGCGGAGATACGTATAATAAAGAAGGCTTCGACGTTAATTTTAATACTCGCGACGAAGCTTAAGACTAATCAACTTGCAATTAAAGGTCCCTCGGCGGTTGTGGCGTTCTCCCTCGATGTCCTTGCGATTAACCCCAATTTAAACTGAAATCAAAACTCATATGTATATTAGTGAGATATGGTAGGAAATTTAATAATCACTTTAAAATGATCTATCACCTAGCTAAAGGGAATTGAACAGAGTATATTAGCAAAATGTTACAAGAATTTAAGCTGAGAAGTAAAAATAAAAATCTTATATTAATCAGTGTCGAACAACGAACACGAACACGAACGAAAAAACGAGTCAGAGACATCGAAACAAATACGGTATATGCATCGACACAATGTTATTCATATCAAAACGAACACGCCTAATAATGAAAGAAACTTGGATCGAGACACCAAGTTGAATCAACACCAAACAATCAAACGAAATGGAAGAATCAAACAAAGTACCTCCGTAGAATATTACGAGAATTCGAGCAAGAACGTAAAAATATGAATTCATGAATTTGTATAGAAACAAATATAGTGTATGATTGAAAACAATATTATATTATTATATCCTGCAATATTATACATATCGAAGCAGTCACATAAATTCGCAAAACAATGTAAAAGTAGAAACAGAGAAAAGGAACATTCATAATAACCAAATAAAATCAGATAGATAAATAAAGTTGAATTCACATCAAACAAACAAATAAAAATAGTAAAATATAAATAAGTGGAGTGGACTTACTACTTGTTGTCAGTACATAGGGTAGTTACCATAAGGGCCAGCTGTAAAGTAAGAAAATATTCATATTATAGCAACATCGGTTAGATAAACAAGGCAAAATCAGTTCATTGAAGCAAAATTGGCATCAAATGATAGAATAGAAGAGGGGAGAGAATTTTTAAACAGTTCTTACCGTTGGTCATCACCGTCCGGCACTGGTCAGTAGTGGTCAGTAGTGGCAGGAACGCGAATCAGCACTGGTCAGTAGTGGTCAGTACTGGTCAGTATTGGTCAGCCATGGTCAGCTGTGGTCAGCGCTGGCCAGTAGTGGTCAGCAGCGGCCAGCAGAGGTCAGCAGCGGTCCCCGGTTCTCCTCTGGCGATTTGTACACTCCCGAATTCGCGACGCGACTGAAGAAATCTTCGCAGTGACCCTGCTTATATGTCTAAGGTGATGAAAGGGTGGGGAGACCAGTCAGAGCCAAAGTTGAAGATAACAGGTAAGACTGTCTCGTCTACAAAGAAACTATTTCGATTGGTCCCACCTCTTGACCATTTCTGGATCTTCACTGGACCGCTGACCTTGATGTCCACCTCACTGTTGACCACCAGTAACCATAAGCTACTCATTGTTGATCATCGACCCATTAAAACCATTACGAAGATTAAAGCCTTCTTACGAGGATTCCCTTACAATTTGATGCATGATCTTTTTAACATTTTGTTCCACTTTGGAAGAGTGTATCTCGTTAATTTTTGTCTTTTTGTACGTCAGTTCGAACAATTGCCATACTGAGCGAAAAATTCGGAGGTGATTTCAGCGTCCTCTTCTCATGGATGGCGGTCAGTTGAGAAATTATTCACTGAATTAGTATTGATAGGCAGACAGCTGTAGTTTTGCGTAAATCCATGTGAGTTGGCTATGAAAGGGATTAAAATTTATTTCTGAATCTGTTGGTAACGTTGCGAGTGACACAAAAATGGTAATGAGGTCCCGGGACCCCAGAAACTCGGGCCGTAAAATTACATTAGGTGAAAGGTCTATTCATATACCTCGTCTGTGGTGAAAGGTCTACTCGTATACCTCGTCTGTGCTTCTGGCATCTCTGGGTGTGGGTCTGGGCACTCCAACCAAAAAGTTGGGGCGCTCGTAGTTATTGTGACAAGACAAAGAATGCGCTAATCTCGCTCTTTTCAATGCCTACATCACAATAAACTGTAATCTATGACTTTGAGTTTTGATAATCGTTGGTGGCTAGTCTTCAAATTTCAGTATACTTTACATGTAAATATATCATAAATTATATGTTTCTCAGCCTCTACGACGAATCGTCCACCAATCAGAGGTTCTTATTCATTGCTAGCGATAAGTAGCTTGTACTGCGCATGCCGCTATTTTCGATTAATCGTTTACTTGATTCAACTAACTTCGAAAGTTAAAAAACGAATACGTATAATGAAATTCAGTGCAAAGGTTAAATGTAGAATCTAGAAAATACAAAATGTGTTTACGAAGTGTAAAAATTATAACTGTGTTTATTGTGTTTTTTATCATATATTACTACTTACATTGCTGTAATTGTAGTTATTATTTCACGTATCACTTTTGTAACAGGAATAATTTCTTCGATCTCGTAATGCTCTATTGAATTACTTGACATGTCTTCATAGCTTTTATGTCTAGCGATACCTGTTTGTATAACCTAGAATCAGTAGTTCGAGTTCGATGCCAATCGTCTCTGCGAATCGACGTTTTACAGCCACGTGTAACTACATACGTTTTACGTCTCCGAAAACGGCCGTAGTTCTCGGACGTGTTTCTGAAACTCTATAGTGTATGTGACATTTTGCGAGCGGTGCAGCCGGCTTCCTTTATTTAGCGCTTTACTTTACGAACGTCAAGTCAAAGGGCAAAGCAACTGGAGACTTAAGAGCAGCTCCTTGCACGAGTTTAAAGAGAGCGAATAGAAAGAACATATTGTTCTCATTGCGAGAGATGGGGTAATAACTTTTACATAAAGCAAGAAATCGCTTCGGCCATGGCACTTTGTCACGTACACACGATTGTTCTACTTTCGGGCTTTATAGCGTGACGTATATAATACGCTTCAACGTCATTTTCAATTCAGTCAATTGAAGTTTATAGAATACCAATCATTTCCTTTCAACAAATTTAATTCACCAAAAAAATGAAAAGATTATTCCCGCCATTTTTGGTTTGTCGATAACCTTGAACGCATGCGTAATTCATCATATGTATATATGAAAAATGCACATTCGACAAAATTGCATTTGAGTGAATTTTTCACGACTCTTCGCACCTTCGTAAAGGACCTCGCATAGATCATATGGAAAATGGCCCCCGGTTAAAATAGCTGAACTTTTGATATGATGTAGTTCACGATGTCTTCATGAAAAGTTCGAATGGGCCCGAGCTCATAAATTGAACAGTCTTTTTTTGTAGGGCATCAAACAAAATTACTAAACATCAAAAACGAATTTTTAAGAAAAATCGACAGGGATTTAATATACATATATATATAATTATATAAATAATAATTTATTCATTATTAAATTATATATTTATAGGATTAATTTATTTATTTTTATTAATTTTAATAAATTTAATAGCAATTAATCGACTAGGTAGGTGCCTAAATTTTTCGACGAAAAGAAAAAATTTTGAATCGTTCTGAAAAAATTAAATTGTTTTTCTTGTAAATCAACAAGAAAGTGATTTGCTACACAATTTAACTCCCCGAACTATACAGGGTGTTCGGCCACCCCTGGGAAAAATTTTAATGGGAGATTCTACAGGTCAAAATAAGACGAAAATCAAGGATACTAATTTGTTGATTGAGGCTTCGTTAAAAAGTTATAGAAACATTTCCGGCCACACAGTATATTTTCGTTAAAGAATTTTGTTCTCGAAAGTGCGTAGGATTTGAGGGGTGCGTCTATGCACCAAAAATGATTGTATTTGACCCCCCATTGACTAATACTTTTTTGTAGATACCAATGTGCTCTATTTCAGAATCGTCGTTTGAAAATTGCGTTTTTTAATCCGTTTCATAGTCAACTCACATGTATTTACGCATACACTACATCTGCTACCCATAAATCCTAATTCAGTGAATAGTTTCTCAACTGACCGCCATCCATGAGAAGAGGCCGCTAAAATCATCTCCGAATTTCCAGGTCGGTATGGCAGTGAGATTGGGCCATGAAAGCCCATAAGGTGAACGTCTACTCGTATACCTCGTCTGTGGTCGCGACACGATGAGCGTCATTCCCAACAGAGTAGTCGCGCTGCCCTCGATGTTTACATACGATAATCTGCTCCGCGACTAGTTATCGCCGCTTTCGGAGGCGGTCGCCACTCAGGGCGCTCCAGTTTTTACTTTCATGGTACCGACCGAGCAACGGCGTCAGAACGCATTGGTATCTACCGGCAGAAAGTAGCAGGAAATGCCGGGTGTAGGGAACGTGCGCGGTGCGCTTCTGTCGTAACATGCGCGTTAAGCGTGCGCTTCCACCCCGAACAAACACCGAGAAATAGGGAAAAAGCAGGTAGACAGAGAGAGGGTGAGAAAGAGGGAAAATGAGAAAGAGAAAGGGAGCGAGCTAACGGTGATTGAGTAAGAGGGAATGGGGGGCGAGGGAAAGCGAGAGAGAGAGAGTGAGAACACAGTGTTGGAGAGGGTATGCGTCGGAGTTGGTGGTAGAGATGGCACCGAGACCAGGATCTGTAGCGTGGTGGGTGGTAGAGGGTAGAAGAGGGAACAAGAGAGGAGAACAGAAACGAAGAGCAGCGAAGGGTAGGGAAGAGAAGGGCGGTAGGGCTGGTTAAATGGCGGCTGGTCCGGGGTTCAGGGACGAAGACACAAACGTAAGAGAGAGGGATGCTGGGGCGGTTCAAGCGAGATCGAGTTCACGCCAAGTGGAGTACGGCAGTTTGTGTCAGACCACGGAGCACGGAGATGCTCCCGGTTGTTCACGGAACGGGTGGTCCACCCTCGTCGCGACGGCGGCGTCGCGCGACGATTTTTCACAGTGCCGTGTCTGTTACGTTTGGAAACACCAAAAAGGTTGAAAGTTCGCGGATCAGCAGGCCGACGTCCACTGCCACTCTGATGACGACCGCTTTGTGCGTGTTGCTGGTCCTCCTGCCCGCGGCATATCCCGACAAGATCTCCATCGGTGAGTGTTCGCTTGCATGTCTTATTCGCTGATCGAGTTTACGGGTTTTGGGTTCGGGTTCGAGTCCGCGAGTGCATCATGCGAGTAGTGGCGCGTCTGGTCGAACTTTGTGCAACCACTCCGTTGGTTGGTGGAGGGTTGTTGCACTCGACTCGTAGGTGTCTATTTACAGTGGATGGAAGTAAATACTACGTTCTCGATGTGCAGTTTCTACGCTGGCGCGTGAAAGGGAGTGCAGTTGACGTTTTTTTTTTCTCTTTGCGGAGGAAAAAAGCAAAGATAACGACGGAGACGCAAACCAATGGACGTGTGCAAATTACGGATTTTGTACAAACGTGTAACGACCATCGTCCGTGTTGTTGAATATTTTCCGTTTGATGCATTGTCAGGACTATGCGTGATCCTTTTCAATGGAAATTATACGCGTGCACAACAAAGCTGACAGTAATCCGGGTCCGGTTGAGGGTGAAAACGTTCATATTATTACTATATTACAGTTTACGTGTTGTTTCCAGAACAATTGTTTGAAGTGTTTAACGTTACTATGATTGGTTTTCATTATTCGAAAGAAAACATTATCCGGAACTATGGTTGATTCATTAATGGAAAATGAAACGTCATGCACATACCGACGTTTGTAATATCATGATATAATATTGTTATGTGAAATTCGCGAATTCTATTCGTTCAATTACTCCACAAACGTTAGTAAACGGTGAAACAATTTAATATATTACGAAATGTTAATTTAATAAACTCTACATGGATAAGAAGTACTTCATAAATACTTGTATATTTTCGTTTTGAAACTGACTAACTACTTTAATTATTAATCTTTGTAGGGATTCTGTGTTACTTATTTAACATTCACTTGTTCCACGTACAGAATAATCATTATATTCGAGTAACATTTCTTCATAAATTCCAATTGTAAATTCCAAAGTAAATTGAGTGGTTGAAAGAAGTCGCCGTTAAAGCGATAAGTAACAAAAGTTACCCTTTAAAATTCAAAGTTGGTGTTTATAAACCTTAAGAAAAAAAGGTATTAGATGGAAATTTAGAAAGAGTTTTTTCAAAGTAATCAACATGATAGTCTTGCAAATGAACGTCTGTTATTCATTTGTTATGATCATTTTTAAATTCGGTTTTATATGATTTGGGTGTCGCTTAAAAGTTTAAATGGATAGAGTAAAACGAACAAAATCTATTTAGGAGATAATTCGATATTGTCAGTGGGAATGAAAAATGATTCTAAGAAAATCCGAAAAAACATTAATGTTACTTCATTTAGAATAACGATGAGTTTACTATTTATTAGTTTTATACAGAATAGATTCATTGTTTCTAAATTACATTTTGTAAAAACATAGTGACGATGAGTTGAATATGTTTGTTCGAAACAAGACGAATATTAACATGTATGATGATACTTAATTTCTTGTATGTGAACTGTAAACTTCATGTAACGAAGACGATAGGAAAACATAATGGATTGGACTATGAAATTCTTTCACCGTCAGTTTGTGTTTCTGATTGTTCAATGACCTCTGAGCGTTTGGGTCCTTTTTTAGAAAATAAATTATTCCAAAACGAGGAGTTCCTGGCCTCCAGCGCGACTGACTTTATTCATTTTGTGTGCATCAATTTCATAGAATCATAATGTTACTGACATTTGTAATGGAAGTTTGTTAATTAGTATTTTTAATTTTAAGTTTGTTAATTAGTAGTAAACTGATTTTGAAATTCTGTTGCACAAACACACAGAATAATGATGTAGATCGTTCAATTCATCATTGATTACGTTTCCAGTTAAAATAACTACACATAAAAAATGTTCATTGCTCATTTATTAATTCTATAGAGAGCAAAATAGCAGAAGAACAAATTTCTAGAGCTATTACAGTTTGTGCGGCGTTACAATAGAATAATGTGAGTTTATGCGACTTTTCGGTTGGAATTGTTCATCTATCGTATGTCTATGCGTTTAGTCCCAAGTTCAATGGTTGAACTCTTTAATTTGTTTGATCAATAGAAATTCATGGAATTGAAATAGGTACTAGAAATTAGTTTTAAATGTAGCAAATACATTATACAAAATAAGACATTTACTACGCTTACGTGTAGTAATTTGGGAACTGGTTTTGAGTATAACAATGTGTAGAGTACAAGGTTTTATCATAGGTGAAAGAGTATCAAGTTTTGAGTAAAAATATATCGATCCCCTTAACGCGATACTTTGCTCCTTCCCGAAAAATTGCTTCGCGCAATGTCTGGTTGAAGATCAATGTCAATAAAATTTTCAATAAAGCAGCTTTGATATTTTCGGTACCGAAGCACGGACATAACACTTTTTACATTAGTAAACACGGCTGTTTTATTGAGATATTCGATGATATTAAATCCCCAACTTAATGTTACGCGAAGAAAATAGTCGAGGAACGAGACAAAATATCCCGTTAACTGCTAGGTTTACGATCAATATTACGTTAATATGTTTATATACGGAATCTAATATTCTTTCAAAATTCTGAAATATATTTATCCATGAAAAAAGCAATAGTACAGTATTTAACGACTTTTCCGAAACCACGAAAGTTCCATAGGTTTTCGTAAATACTTTATTAAACATGTTCTGTATTTAAATATACAACGAAAATATCATAAAAATTACATAAAAAATATGAGGTATGGAAGCAATAGTAAAAATAATATTGTCTCTTGTCTGCTGTTTTATAAAAAAAACTTTTGTTGGTATTTTCTAATGACAGCTCAAATATTTTTCATATAAACATTATAAACGAAAATACTTTTAATATTTAGAAGATCATAAATTCACGAACCGAAATATAATTGAAAGTAAAATTCTAATAAAGTGAACAAATTGGGGTGGTATTGATTCGTTTCAAAATAATAAACATAGCTTGTATCAACGGATAACATAAACATTATTTAGTATCCTTTTTATCCTAAGAGGGAAACTCTTATTGTTTTCTTGACATTTCATATGTTTGTTACAAACTTTTAATAAAGCATGGAACCATGTTTACATAAAATTCTCGTCTTACTTTTAGCCACAAAACATGCTGGCAAAATTAGTACATAAACCGTAAAGTACTTTGTGTAATTCGATTTCGTAAATCCAGGGTGAAGTGCTTATATCGTACCAAATTCGGAACCTTTAATATTAACTCTACCAGCGAATAATAGGTACAGACGATCGAGAGCGTAAGTTTAAGCACTCCAAACTGCGCATACAAATATTTTAGAGTATATTTATAGTCTGATTAAGCATTGTTTGTTAAATATAAACGCTTCGACCCGTAATTTTGGTTCTTTTCAGAATAAAAATGTTGATCGTTAATACTTTGAAATATACGAGTAAATGAATTGTAGAAGACGAACGAAATGTAATTAAGTAAATATAAAAATGAGGGTAGCTACAATGGACAGTGAATTTAACATCAAATTAGTCAAAGAGACAAAATGAAAAAATAAAATGTGTTCAATTTTTGAAGTATACAATCTGACTGTTTACAAATTCAAACGTTTGTTTTTCGTGTTTAAGGTTTGGAGGGAAGAAATAGATTAGAAATCGTGTAAAAAGTTACAAATGAGAGGACTTGCAATCGATATGGAATTAATATCAATTAGTTAAATAGATAAAATGTATAAAATTTTGTAAGTATAGAATATGACACTTTATAAATATAAATGTTTACCTTTTTTGTATAAGACGGGAGGGAGAAAATACAGTAATGAATATAAATCAAATTATAAAAAAAGATTATTATATATGTATATGTCTTACATAGTTCGAAATTATCATAACGTACCTCCACTATTTTTGAATTTTGCTTCATATTTTGTTTCTCATCTAAGTGATTTTATTCTTTTCTTATAGCTACCTCTAATTTATTAAGAATAATTTAGATTCCAGATTTGGTAATTTTTAAGGCTATTATTAATTTTATCAGCGTGTGTTTGGTTTGACGAACGTTGTTTTACAATTATTGCACAATTTGTTTTCAATTTAAATATTGAATTCTTGTCTAATTTTAAAAGAATTATTTTGAAATTTGACAATGATACGAACTTAGTCTTTAAGTTTATGCGAGACATTAGGTAAGAAAGAAAGTAGAGTGCAGAAATGTTATTCCTTTTTTATAAATCATAAGTATTTCTTATTTTTTTTCCAGATTGTGACATAAATGTTTAACATTAAAGTAAAGTTTTCTTTGCCAGGTAAATTTTAAACGATACCTATTTTTTGTGAAACGTACGCGCGCGTTTACAAATTGCGTGTAATTAAACAAACGGACGAAGAACCCGCTGGGAAATGTGTGTAATTCGTACTAAAGGACAAATATCTCGAAAACTCGCATGGCATAAACATCGTTTGTACGGTAGCCTGGGAAACTTCGTAGCTCGAGTCGACTGGTGTTTTTCAACTCCGTGTATCCTGGATTCAAGCGCCCAGCAGTTTCTCTTCGAGATCCAAAATCGGTCGCCCGAAATCCTCCGTCGCGAGCGTGATATTCGGTTAAAAGCCTGGTAGATTACCATCAATGCAGATTTCAGGGACGTAACGTCAGAAGTTGCGGGAAATGATTGTGGAGAAGGAAGGGTGGATGTGCGGGTGTAAGACAGAGAAAGATAGAGAGGGGGTGGTGGCGCAAACACAGAAATAGTCGGAAGTAGGTAAAATGAGAGGGAATAAGCGGGAGAGGGCAAAAGTGTGAGAGAGAAAGGGGAACGTTGAGCGAGGAGTGAATGATGAATGCCTATAGAAATGGCGGTGTCTTTCTTCCACTCACGTAGGTATGTAGGTAGAGAACTACTGGCTAAGTCGACGAAAAGACGAGGAGGAGGTCGTGGCACGAGAGGTGGTGGTGACGTTGGAGGAGGATGAGGATTGTGGAAGGTTCGTTGCCTTGCCAAGTTATACCGCACACGGCGGCTTTCTTTGCTACTCGAAGACCGCTCTCTCCTACTTCACCGCC